TTTTACGAGACAAGTGTGGTGAACTAGATTTTGTAGCCCAGAATCAATGGGCAAAGCCGTGTGAGTTAAGATGTTTTTATTCTTCAGCGATGTAGTTGGAACGACCGCTAAATCCACGATTTCGACAAAAAGTAATAGCTCAAATTGTTTGCCACTTGAGGAATTGTGAGTGAAGAGGGCCAACAAATCAGACAGATATGTGCTGAAAGACTGCTCAAGTGAAGTATTAGGACGCGCCACGTAATTTCACTAGGATTTTTTGATATTGTTCATCGAATCTCTTTCAACCGCTAGGCTGTCCTATTTCCAAACAAATGGTGGGTGTTCTCAGATTTTGATAAGCAGCCGACATTGGCAAATGTTCATTAAAAAAAGAGAATGCAATACAATCGGCCGTATTCCGAAATCACGGGGGATTAAAGCGAAGAGTGTTAGTGGCACACGAGTAATCATGACAGTTGAACCAGTACCATTGTTAACCATGCACGCAGTAGTGCGCGACAGCCAAACTGGTTAATCATAACAGCAGAAACCGAAAACCGATAGAATCCCACACCAATGATCACATTTTGACAAATAGACCGAAAACAAGAGCGGACCAAGAAGACCAGTTCAGAATGTCTTGCACATAACCCGTCCCTCATCAGGCGTCCCATCCTGCAGAAAAATTCAAAGTGCAACACTTACGCCGATACCAGAATCGCGTAGCCAAACACGCAGATGCCAAGCAGGAGGAACATGCCATGAGCGAGAGGCCGCAGACCAGCAAGTAATCCGTCCGGCAGCGATGTTGGCATGATGCGAACGCAAAACTCGTCCAGAGCTGTCCCATATCAGCGAAAGCTCGCTCAATACTGTGCAGAACGAAGGCTTTCTAGCATCTCTGACCATTTCGCTTCGCTTTTTCATCGTTTTCCCCTCTATATAGGACCTCTGTGACCATTTTGGACCGAATACTAAATATTGTGCCTAGCGCCTCTAAGCGCCACATCGCTCCCAACAAACAGTCCCCCAGATGAAGCGACAATGTGGGCCTTTGCAGAGTAGAAACCCCCACAAAAACAAAATATGATGCGCAGTTCGATCTGGAGGGGGCAGCTTATGACACTTAGCCAAACTTATACGGAGCGCCTTGGGAAGACCTGTAAGTTACTGTGATCCAAAGTAGCTCATTCACACCATTCCGCAGCTTCACAGGAACTTACAAGCCTCACCGAAGTGCAATCTGTTACTTAGCATGAACTAACAAGGGTAACTAGCGAAAGTGTAAAATGCCCACTGGAAGCTGAACACCGTCAAAGCTAGTTTTTACTCCATTTGGTTGTAGCCTTTAACCTACACTTCTTCGGAAATCATTTGACAATTCTTATTCACAGAACAGCGGTATAGAAATGGGAAACGGATTGTGTCTGCTCTTTTTCAAAGTTGAATCTTCCAAGGGGAAAATCTCCGATGATGATTAAAGTGGCAAAAAGAAAAGCAAGTGATATATGTATTGAGGAGCACTATCCCGATAAGAACAAAATCATCATTATAGAGTGGCAGAGCTAAATGTTCACACAAGACCACGGCCGCTACCTATGTTTAGGCCGCCGGCTGTGCACAACCACGTTCCCAACATACTATACTTATATAAAAGGAGCGTGGTGAAATCATCACAGATAAATCGACGAAACATTTCCGTCTCAATAGCAACAAACTGACCACGAGCCCATCATATCTATAATGAACGCATGATTTCCGGATGAAAGGGAGAGATGGAGGGGGCTTGATAGCACGTTACAAGCTTAGGGAAACAGGCGGGGTACAGTACCGCAAACTTCGCGTAAAATTGAGAGCAGCGAGTGCACGTTCTCACTTCCTGGGGCCGTATGGGTCTCAGGATATCTGTCAACCGCGGGACCTTCCTCTTCCTTCCTTTTCCTTCCTTCTTTTTCTTCCTTCCTTTCTCATCCTGCCTCCTTGTTTTCCTTCCTCTAAATGCTCGAACAGAAGATGCGATGAGAAAACACCTCTGAACCCTCACAGCGAGAGAGCATCCGGTTGACAGATGCCTTGTAACCGGCCCGTATGCCCTGTAGGAGAAATATTTTCCAGTGCACCTCCACTCTATGCCGCTATCTCTACTGGTGTCCCTCGTCTCTCTGGCTCTCGCCGCTCTGCATCCATACTCTTCTGGCGCACGCTCTGAACGAATATAGTGCAGCGCAGAGCATAATCGATAACTTGGCCTCTCCCCAACGAATGTCGTTTGGGGTGAGATTCCGGGAGCGTGAGGGAAGATATGCAGATAGGCAGAAGCATAATACTGGGGACACTGACGGAAATGCGTTGGGAAAGATATCGAGATAAGGCAGGAAGCCATGGAAATACTGGGGGACACTGACGGAAATAACAGAGAAGCGGTTACTGAAGGAAATCTACCCTACAGGGGAAGTATAATGCACTGCCCCGACCTCACCACGTAACTCCTTCCAAACGTGAGACGCATGAAGTAAAATTATTTGATTGTGAAGGTGTTTAGCCTTTTGTTCTCATTGTATGGAAGAATTTAGCGAAAATGGGAAGGTTGATTATTCGAGTATGCAGAGCGAGGAAGTATGGACAGGAACGGGATACAGTGTTGCTTCGTTCATGATAGCAAAGGTTTGTCCCGAAGAGATAACTTTGCACTTTGCTCTTTTTACAAGTTTTGGGAGTACTGGTAATTGATTGTGTGTGATGGGGCGTGAACTGGAGTGCAGCCGGCTAGTCATTGGTTGAACAGATAAGTTAGTTTTTTTGTGGGAAATGCTGTGCTGGCTGCGCTCCAATCCGCGCCCCTTCACACGCCCTCTCATTTGTTGAGAGCATGTTTACATAGTGTATTCAGTGAAATTTACTCGGGTCCTGAAGAAAGTTTTTACAGAAACTGCGAAATTATGGCTTCGATACGGCTCGAGGAGTCTACGAGATGTGCTGGAATCGAGCAGGACTTCAGTACCAAACCCCCGAAGCAGTATTCGAGAGGAAGCATTACCGGGCCATTGGTTACATGCGACCGTTAGCCATCTGGGCAATGCACCATGTCCTCGAGATGAACGCTACACGATGAACCTCCTGCTCAGTTACGAGAGCTATTTGGACCTTGCGTGTTATCTCACTTTTTATCTAAACACTCGTACAAAGTGCATCATAGTAGTTATGTATATAAGATTGTTGTGTAAAGCAGTTATATGACATAATTATTATGAATTATGACTATTATATTTATTTCAAAGATATTATATAGATATATGCTCTGCCTTGCAAGCTCAGTAAATGAATTGATTCGTGCCAAGTTTCTGTATATACGGATATTTTTGTAAGTATGCATTTGCAGACGTATTTGACGGGATAAAGTCACGACAAATTCAAGTTTGCTGGGCGGGGCGAATCGAACGCGAGCGTCGCCTGGATCTAAGCTAGCGTGTCGAGCTAAATTACTTGTGTGCTCCACCGTTTTTCTCGTGAAGAGTCGAGTTTCATTCTTGTTCACTGCACACGCAGGGCGTTTTGGGGGCTGGGCTTGGCGTGGTGCGTGCCTAGGCTCCACTAATGGTTGAAGCTGGTAAGCGACTGCGATCGACGGAGAACAGGTAGGCCCCGCGCCAAACGCTGCTCAGAAACATCCCAGCGTCCGTGGCGAACAGAA